AAAAAAAAAAAAGATATGCCAGCAGAATCAGGTAGGGGCAAGGAGCAGATTCTCCCCAAGACTCTCTGAAGGGATTGTGGCCCTGTTAACACCTTGATTTTCACCCAATCCTCTGAATGCACGCTTCTGACCTCCAGAACTGTAAGAGAATAAATTTCTATTGTCCAAATCCACTAAATTTGTGACAATTTGTTACCACAACCCCAGGAAGCTAATATAGGTGCCCACTTGTCCCAACTGCATATCCTATGATTGTGGTATATGTGACACCCATAGGAAGAGTCCTTTCCCCACTAGTTATTTTCTGATGATAATTATCAAGCTAATCAGAAATGGCCTTTGGGCTAAGATCAAATATTGTATGGGGGCTTCCCAGGTGGCACAGCGGTAAAGAATCTACCTGCCAATACAGGAAACATAGGAGACCCAGGTTCTATCCCTGTGTCGGGAAGGCCCCTTGGGAGAGGATATGACAACCTGCTCCAGTGTTCTTGCCTGAAAAATTCCATGGACACAAGAGTCTGTTGGGCTAATGTCCATGAGGTTGCAAAGAGTCAAACATGACTGAACGACTGAGCACATAAGCAGAAACTTTTCTTTCATTACTGGAAAGTTACACTTGAGAAACTGGAGTTTGAGGGAGCCACAGAAATAAGGATAATATGCTTAACTATTAATGCTATTCATTTATCAAGCATTCTGAAGTTCTGGCTATATGACAATCTTTATCCAAAGTCCTGAAATAAACAAGATCTCTGCCCTTAAAGAGGTCAGTTGATGAAGGGAAATAGATACACACACACACACACGCACACACGCACACACACAACTAAAATAATATGTGGAAAATGGACTAATGATCACATGTCTGGAGTATTATAAACACACTGAAGAATGCATAGACTACAGGATGCATCTGTGTGAACACAGAGGCAGGGTGGGCCAGGGAAAGCTTCATGGCAAAGGTATGCCTTTGAGCCGACACATAAGGGAGCTAACTGGTAAAGCAGACCGAAAGGGAAAACTTATATCAGTTTTTTTCAGTGGATTTCATATTTTGAGGGATGCTGTCTACCAAAAAAGAAAGCTTCTGTATTTAAGTAATAAATAATAGATCAAGAACATCTCTAACTGACAAATAGAATTTATAATCAGTGTAGGATGATCACTACTATTTTACTATTATTTCAGCCAAGAGCAAAGGTATTTTCATTTAATATTTTTTCCTGTAAAGTTTTTTTCCAGGTAAACATGTGATTTTTTAAATTATGATTTTTAGAATACTGATACAGCTATAGGATTCTCTCTTCATTATTTTCAAGGACAGTCTTCCTTACCCTGGGAAAGACAATCTACTTGTACTAAACAATATGGCCTAGAGAAAATTATATTGAAAAGAACCTCATTCATGAGAGTACCTTCTTGTACATAGCTCTAGCTCTGTTCCTTGGAGATAGCTTGCAGTGTCATTTCCTTGTAAGGCAACAGAAGCAGTTAGGACCTAATCCCCTTTTACAGAGCTCCTATAAAATAATAGTGATAAATATAATAATCAATGCTTGTAGAGCATTCTATCATGGTACAAGAGAGTTTCACAAAAGTATTTGATTATGGGCTTTTTGGAACTGTAAGTAAAACTCTGTTTTTTTTTTCATTTCATACAGGTTTCTCTTCTCTCTCTCTCCCTCTTTGTCATCTTTATTGTGAGGTTCTTACTCTTCCAGTTAACATAATGCTTTGCTGAGATATAATTGACATGTAACATTGTCTATGTTTAAAGCATACATCAGGTTGATTTGACCCAATTATATATAGGGAAATGATTATCATCCAAGCTTTACTTAACACCTCCATCACCTCACATAACTACCTTTTTTATGTGTATTAAGAGAACATTCAAGATCTATTCTCTAAGCAATTTTCAAGTATGTAACAACAAAGTGTGGTTAATTACCATCACCATGGCTGCGTATTAGATCTCAAAAAACTATCCATCTTATAACTGGAAGTTTGTATCTTTTAACCAAGTCTGCTCATTTACCCCTCACCCTCAGGCAAATTTCTTAATCTATTTTAGCTTCAGTTCAGTTCAGTTCAGTTCAGTCGCTCAGTCGTGTCCAACTCTTTGCGACCCCATGAAATGCAGCACGCCAGGCCTCCCTGTCCATCGCCAACTCCAGAGTTTACTCAAACTCATGTCCATCAAGTCGGTGATGCCATCCAGCCATCTCATCCTGTTGTCCCCTTCTCTTCCTGCCCCCAATCCCTCCCAGCATCAGGGTCTTTTCCAATGAGTCCACTCTTCGCATGAGGTGGCCAAACTATTGGAGTTCCAGCTTCAACATCAGTCCTTCCAATGACCACCCAGGACTGATCTCCTTCAGGATGGACTGGCTGGATCTCCTTGCAGTCCAAGGGACTCTCAAGAGTCTTCTCCAACACCACAGTTCAAAGGCATCAATTCTTCGGCACTCAGCTTTCTTTATAGTCCAACTCTCACATCCATACATGACCACTGGAAAAACCACAGCCTTGACCAGACGGACCTTTGTTGGCGAAGTAATGTCTCTGCTTCAGTTTCCTCAGCTCAGAAGTGAGACGGCTCATGTCCACATGGAGAGCTCCGAGAATGAAGTGAGATTTTGTACATGAAGTACCCAGGACAGTGGCTGACACAGTAAGTACATAGAGAGAGCTGGCTCCATTATTTTATGTCATTTATTTTTTTCTGGAAGTAGTTAAATTTTTATAAAAATTGTCTTTTATTCTATTGTTCTTCAATTGCTTCACTCCTCTCAACTCATGACAAGAACCAACTCATTTTGCCAGAATCTCCTCACCACCCATCTGTTGAAATTGAGGCTGGAAGATGGCTTCTTAAGGGTGAAATTTGAGGAATACTGATGTGTCTCAGAATTCAACCTGCCTCCACTGGTGACGCTCCTTGGGTTCTCCCTGCGCTCGTATTCTGGTCCTTCAGGTATCACATGGTCGATAAAAACTGGCTGTTATTTATGAATAATGTGCTCCCTAGCTCCAAAAAGATTTGAGGCAGTTTTCAGGATTAGATCATGCATAAAACAGTAAAGTTATATGTTAAAAGAGATGACAAGACTATTAGAGCACTTTGTGAATTATAACTGGGATTTGATACAGATTTGTTTTTTGAACTGAGGATTACAGTCATTAATCAGTTCACAAAATTAATTGAGATAAGTACATTCCATGAGGTAAAGAAATTATGATTTTTGTGGAATTTTTAGTTCCAATTATATATTATTGCATGTTTGTAAAATGTATTTCGCTTAAAAAAAAAAGAGAAAGATAGTTTGAGGGCCATGATATTAGGCTGCTAGTGGTTTACTTTTTCTGCCACTAGTGGCTAGAGGTGAGAAAGTTCCTGATATAACAGACCTTTCTCCAACACTTACTTTCATCGGACATTCTTTCACGTGCATGATTTTTTGTTTCTTCCCTAATACTGATAAGCTGTAGTGTAGGATAGGTAGCCTAGGAAAATTCCATACTTTAATTACCCTTCACCGGGCCTCTGGTACAAGTCTGACGGGATTCTTATTCCTTAACAGACTCGGATAGCAGGTAGTAAAGCACACTGAATAGAGTGAATCGGAGCTTCCCTAAAAGCCCCTGAAAATTCCGTCAGTTTTAACCATTAACTCCCCGGACTCTTGACTCAGAAGTTCTTCTAAAGCTCTGCCTAGGTGTTTAGGGATGGGGGCGGAAGGGCGAGGAGAGAGGCTGAGGTCTGGGCTGTGGCGCTGAGGGCGGGCTGGGCGGGGGACGCGGGCGGACGGGGGCTACTTCCGGCTCGGGTTTCCGCCAGCGGCCTCAGAGAGGGCCCTCTGAGGGGGTGGGGGGACGAGCAGTCAAAAGGAGCAGGTGTGTGTGTGTGTGTGTGTGTGTGTGTGAGAGTCCAAGGGGCAGCGAAGGTCCAACCAGTCAAAAGGAGTAGGGGTGTGTGTGTGTCCAAGGGGCGGCGAAGGCCCAACCAGTCAAAAGGAGTAGGGGTGTGTGTGTGTGTGTGTGTGTGTGTGAGTCCAAGGGGCGGCGAAGGTCCAACCAGTCAAAATGCATAGGGGTGTGTTTGTGTCTTCGTGTATTTGTGTGTGTGTGAGTCCAAGGGCGGCGCAGGTCCCCACTCTGCCTGAGTACCATCCTCCACATCTTGCTGTCTTTCCAAGTGGGGCCAGCCTGTGTGTGTGTGTGTGTTTGAGTCCAAGGGGCGGCGAAGGTCCAACCAGTCAAAAGGAGTAGGGGTGTGTGTGTGTGTCCAAGGGGCAGCGAAGGTCCCCCACTCAGCACAATTCTCTACATCTTGGTGTGTTTTTCCAAGTGGGGCAGGCCGGTGTGTGTGTGTGTGTGTGTGTGTGTGTGTGAGAGAGAGAGAGAGAGAG